ACAAAATGCTCTAACTATAAAAGTCTACTTCATTCTCAAAACTTTTAAATGCTTTTTCCTTCTAGACCCACATAATTATAAGAATTAAAAAAAAAACAAAGCCATTACCAAAAGCATTTGAATTTTTAGGCTGCAAGAAAATACTCCTCAGTTAAATAATTAAATTCAATTAAAACAATTTACCAGTTAGCTGTCTGATAGGACAATTCATTTAAAGCTTTCGCTAAACTTTTTTTTGAGGCCCTGAAGCTCTTTTTAATGTAAGTTTTATTTTATCCTTTATTTTTCTATATTTTCTTAATTTTCTAACATCCTAGCATTACTTTCATAATCAGTAAAATGAGGAAATTTTAAAAACTGAGAAAAATGAGGCTAGTAATAATTAATGTTTAAAAAATTATAACCAACTTTGATATACACATCAGTCTCTGAAAACCTTTTTTAGTAACTTACACAAATATGTAAATTCATATAAACTGAATTTGATGCAGCTTTATAAATCTGAGGCCGTGCTGTTTGTTCCTTAGATTTCTATTTCACAGGAGCTAGTATGCAAAAATCAAGTGGAAACTATGTACACTCAGTTACTGAGACCTTATTTTTTAACGTGACAGTGGTGATTTAAAAAATCCATTAAAGTTCCTCAACCACGATTAATTCAAAAAGTGAAAATGAACATTAATTTATTCTCAGGAACAATAATCTTTAAATAGTATTTAAGTTTTAATGGTATAAATTATAAGTCTGTAAAGAAATCACATTATAATTCGAGTTTTAGTTTCTTCTAGCATCACAAAGTGAGGCCTCTGTGTTTGTTTGTACGTCTGTGTGGTTGGTGGTGGGGGGAATGGTTTCTACTTTAGTTCGTTTGTATCCTTATCTGAAACCTTTTAGAAAATATACTACAGCTACTAATGCTATGATGACTTCCACTATTATTAATATAATACATTAAGAGCTTACCACTCAAGTTCATAGTACTCGTTGGATTCTATCATGAGGTATGTTCTATTCTACCAGAGAGAAGTTAAGAAATTTCCTTATGCTACTTTGCTAGTAGGTGCAGAGCTGGGATCTGAATCTGGGCAATTTGGCTCTACAATCAACAGTCTTAATCACCACACAATATAACCTCATGTAATGCCAACTACGACGAGTAAAAGGACAAGATAAGATGACAAGTATCAAAATGACTCAGTACACCCCCAGTTTGCATAAGTACTCTAAAGTAATGACTACACATCACAGACTGAAGCGACTTTCAGAATTATTTAGGGAAAAATAAATAATAAGCAAAAGGTAAACTAGTCTCTTTAAATGTTCTTTAGCATGTGTATATGGAAGATCAGGAATACAGGGGTGGGAACAATTGCAAAAAAATCTAATGAAGAGCTTAATGTCAGGAAAATTACTTTAATCTTCTAGGTATGATACTCTCTTCTGATCTTCTGCATAGGATTAAGAATAAATAAGAACACAGAAAAGAAAGAAGTCATCGATTAAAACCAACATGCCAAAGACAGCATAGTTATAATTGGTTGAGTGGGGATGGGTAGCTTATAAGTGTCTCCATAGCCCTCATATGAGTGGCAGGAAACTGATGCTTCCGCCATGAGGCCCCTTCCCTCTCCACTCCAGCAGCTACTCAGTGCAAAGCATTGTTTGTACTCTTTTCTCCCCTCCACCTAATGTGGCTTTTTTAATTATTCCCTTCTTCTATCATTTCAACTAATTCCCAAGGGGAAGAACTCACTTACAATTCTTTATACAATGAATTGTATTCCTGAATTTGATCATCGGAAGTCATACAGTAGAAGACAGAATGATGCCTCACCAAAAGCAAATTTTTCTTGGTTCATTGATTGATGTTGGAATTCAGTTTCCATGTAACCTACTGGTTCAGTCATTTTAATTCTCCAAATCAATTTCAAATTATTGGGAACTAGCTATATATCAATCAAGTTACGGATATTCTAAATTAGACATCTCATTTATATATATATTAGACAAGCACTTGAGATTTAGAATGAAATGCTGCAAAGACAAAATCTCTATGTTTCAAAAATGTAAACTAGTTGTTCATGGCCATTTTAGTTTACAAAGGAAATTTTATACTGGAAGTAAGTTAGCTCAGCCTTTCTGTATAAAAATTCAGTCTCAGTCTATGATTGCTATAGACACAGCCCACATGCCTCCTCTCAGGAGCCGCAGCTCAAAGCCTAGGAAGCAGAGTGTCCCCAGTGCAGCATAAAGTATCATCTCAGGGAGTGGGCACCAGGGAACTCAGCATCAGCATCTCCACAGCCTCAGGAGCACCTCCTTTTTGCACTGAAGGTAGGAGGGATCCAGGACAGGTGTTCACACTGTTAACATACACAGTCTGAAAATCTATTCTACTTTAAAGAGAATTTTTAACTTTAAAAGGCAGATTTGAGTATTGTAATATATACCAAGAAACTGTGTCTGCCTCATCCTACTACTCATGACATAAAATGGAGTAGGTATATTCGGTCCTGTAGGCTGGGAAAATTCTTATAACTCCAGGTAATGGAGTAGACCTTTCAAGGTGGGTCTTTTCCAAGGAGTGATGAAAATTCAGTGTCCTTCTGTGGTGGAGTTCTTTCTCATCTGCTGTTGATTTTGCTCGTCTGCTCTGGTAGCAGCTAAGTGAACCTTCAAGACCATGGCTTATTTGTTCTACTTTCCATATCTATTTAAACTAAGCATTTTAAAATTGCATTATTAGTTTTAAAAACCATATTGGTTATATGTTTGTTAGACAAAAGTTAGCTTATACTATATCTGAATATATATATTCTGAATATTTCAAGAATATTTCCTGACCATATACTACAATCTTAGATTATAAAAGCAATAATACATGAGTAATAGAGCATCAGGTTAGACATGGAAGAATGAATACACATGTACATGTACACACACACACACATCAACCAAGATGGTTCTCAAGTGATCTGTCCAGTCTTTTTAAAGATAAAAAAAACTTGAAGAATTAAACAGCTACCTCTGCCACCACTTCCTTTTGAGGAAACATCACAGACTTCATGATTAGGAGATTTTTCCCCTTACATTAGATATATTTTCCTTTATCTAACTTTATCCATTACTTTTAGTTACCATTTTAGGTTATTTCTCAAAAATCCTGTTTCCCCTTGCTACCCTTTAATTACTTCTAGATATTATCAACTCTGTCTTTTTCTTCTCTCTCTGCTCCACTGCCTCAGACTATTAGTCATTATTTGGCTCGTATCTATGGATTTGATATCTTTAATCCTTTGTTATAAATTGGTTCTTTCAACTTCAGTTGGTTCTTAAATTCTTCCAATCATCTCATATTTTTCTAAATTTCATCTCTTTTGGCTTATTGCTTTAAATAACCTCACCTGTCATGTAGGAAAAAATAAAACAAGAGATAATGATTTCATTGTTTTCAATTGTAATAATCTAAAACCACTCATGCAAAAGGATATATTGCTTAATCAGCAACATACGATTAATATAAATAAGATAAATCACATTCTTATAATATATGACAAACTTAAGATATTAATCAGAAGTAAAAATAATTGTCACCATTACAAAAAGCTTCTAGAGACATATATAAAAAGCTTTGACACATTCTTGCTGTCACACGGAGGACGCATACAATTAACAATAACAATGAAAACAAAGAATGGTAAGAAAGCATTCTCTTTAACTGAAACATAAGAAAAAAGGAGATGTTATAATTTAGAAGAAATCATGACTTCTATCAACAGATAATAGGAAAATCCACTCCTAGGAAAAAACACATATTATTTTATGTACATATGTATGTGTAATATTATACATATATATTCTGCTTTAGTATGTTAAAGCAGATGTGAGTCCAAAAAAAAACCAAACAGGGCTTCCCTGGTGGTGCAGTGGTTGAGAATCCGCCTGCCAACGCAGGGGACACGGGTTCGAGCCCTGGTCCAGGAAGATCCCACATGCCGCAGAGCAACTAAGCCCGTGTGCCACAATTACTGAGCCTGCGCTCTAGAGCCCGTGAGCCACAACTAATGAAGCCCGTGCGCCTAGAGCCCGTGCTCCGCAACAAGAGAAGCCACCGCAATGAGAAGCCCGCACACCACAACGAAGAGTAGCCCCCGTTCGCTGCAACTAGAGAAAGCCCGTGTGCAGCAACTGAGATCCAATGCAGACAAAAAAATTTAAAAAATAACAAAAAAACAAACAAATGGTAAATTCTACTCTTCTTTAGTCATAAATCAAACCTAACTTGCTGAAAATCAAACCAATTCCTTATAAACAGAGAAGGACTTGGAGAAAGTTATACTGACATGAATAAAGATTTTTTTAAAAAGGGCCACAAGATGAGCATTTAATTAAAACACACACACACACACAGACACACACACATGGACACACACACTTTCTTTAGGCTGTTGAAATATAAAGTCTTTAATTCGCCATTAAAAAAAAAAAAAAAACAAACCTTGATTATAAGCTTTAAAACCATTTGAAGATGTGGAAGACTGTCTGCCTTTCAGCCTACTTCAAAGCCAGTAAAGAAATCACTTCTTCTTCTTCCAACTCAAAGTATGTTTAGGAGCAGAACATCTGATAGAAGTGGTATTGCCAATCTAACCAATTTTAAAATATAAAGTGTTTCTAGCAATATTTGGATACATATAATTTGACAAAAAAAAGTTTTATAAACCTAAGCTTTAAAAAATAGAAAATATAAGCCCCAACAAAAAAAGCATAATTTGTAATTGAAAGAAAATAATATTTTGTAGAAAAAAAGTTGTCCTTCCAAAAAGAGACAAAAATGACTAACTTTTATTTCCCAAGAGAATTATGCCACTTTTATACAACAAAATTACAGTCACCACAAATTGCTTTCAACAATTCCACTGCTGCTTCATTTGACCACTTGAAAATCAAAATTCTTTCAGATTATAAATATAACTTTTTATAACTCTGTTATTACGTACTGTGAATGGGGAAAGGGGGCCAATCTTGTGGCCGTAGCGTCGAACGGCCTCTCTGATGTGGCAGGGCTGGATGGCATCGCTGTGAGCCTCAACACCACAGGCCGCAGTGCTCTGCGACAGAAAAACACATAAATTGTTACTAAATCAAAAACACACAACAGAACTACAGTGTATAAAATATGAAAATAAACTTTCATAAAATGGACGGTTTTTTCCCTTAGGATGCACATCATTGCTGCCATATACTACATCTAAAAAAAAATTCCATTAACAAATCAAAGATGACTTTTACATGACCCCTTCCTAGCAGACCAACCAAATGCAATTTTTATGCCCCCAATATTTCACCTAGGCCTACATGTCAAGGTACAGAAGAATACAGCCACTTGCGTGCAGATGAAAAGTGTCATAGGGGCTTGCTGAAAGAACAACAGGAAACTATTTTTTTAAAAACCATTTAAACATTCATTATTATAAATGTTTCTTGGGAGCCTGTTGGACATATTTCTGAAATAACTTGAGGGTCATCAATTTTAAAATTAAAAATGTAAAATTGCTACATATTTATTTATAATACTGTGGACCGTCATAAAAGATCATTTCAACTTGGTTCCTAGTTTTCTAGGTATCCTCCATGCAAAAACAAGATAAAACAAAAACTTTCTATTTTAATCTGCCTCATCTGTAAAAGGCAGGTTTGAAAGTACAAAGAAACACAAGAAACAGAGAGATTATTTGCAATAAAACTATGGATATCAACTCAAGAAATGTGTGCAACATGATTTAAAAAAAATAAAATAGGGGCATTACAGTCTCATGATTCAGTTGTAGGCTCTGGCTTCCCAAATACCTGGGTCCAGATCCCAGCCATATCAGTTACCAGTTCTGTCAAGTTATGTAATATCTCTGCACTTTAGTTTCCTCATCTGTAAACTGGATAATAATTATAATTGCTCTATAGGGTTGCTGTGAAAATTAAATGAGTTGATATGTGTAAACCACTTAGAACGGTGCCTGACACATGTCAGCTATTAACAACATTAGGCTATTATTTACATTAAAAATGGAACCTCCATGTTCTTGAAATGATAAGCTAATTTACTTAAAAGTGCAGTGGATACCAGATGCCAGGTCATCAACATTAAAGAATCAAGAGAAAGAAATAGTAGCCTGTGTGTTACTATAACTCTGGTCTAGAGGTACCACTCTCAGAATTCCTTATAGGAGTATGTCTAGTACAACCTCTAGGGATAGCAATTTGGCAAATCTTATCAAAATGAAAAAACACAACCCTTTTTAACCCAATAATTTCATCTCTAAGAATTTATCCTACAGACACATTACACAGTACAAAATAATAGATAGATAGATAGGTAGATATTCACCGCTGTGCTATCTGAATTCATGAAGCAAATGTTCATCGATGAGAGAACAATGAAGTCAATTATGATACATTCATTCACTGCAACAGAAACCACAGCAACACCAAAAAGAATGAAGCAGTCCCATACATATTCCTATGAAGCTCTCTCTAAGATTCATTGTTTGAAAAAATACTAGGTGACCAACTGGATAACTATGTTAACCAGCTGTTTTTTTTTAAAAAAAGCTGAACATTATATGCTCATTTAAGCTTAGAATATTTCCACAAAGGTACCCCAAAAATCAGTAACAGTGCTTATCTCTTGTAGTATAGGTGGGTGTCTGGAGGACATGGGTTAGAGAAAATATTTTTCACTGTATATCCTTCTGTACCTTTTAAATATACTTTTTGTGCTTCTTCTATTATAAACTAGTAAAATAATTGTAAAAATTCCTATGAAGAGCATCAGCTAATTATCCAAGCTGAACCTGAAATAAGACTTAAAATACAAAACAAAACAGATCTTGATTATTTTTATTATTTTAACAAGATTTGAAATAAGCCAGATAGGAATTTATTCTAGGCTATCTTTCTCAATTTCATTCCAACAATACCCTAAATAACATATCAGCTATGCCCACAATAACAAGGATTAAGTTATCTTAACCCCTCACTTTGGCACTCATATAGAAGTGCACACACAGAGTTTTTTCTTTTTCTTTCTTTCTTTCTTTTTTTTTAAATTGTGCTTTCTTGATTCTCATTCCGAATACTTTGTTTCAGTTGGACTATATTAGAATAAATGCAATTATCAGGTACCCAGTAAGGCTAAGGACTCTTCCGTTAAGTCCACTTGGCTCCAAGATGTGAATATGACTAATACAGACTCATTATCTGCTAGGGATAACAAATACTTGTGAAGTAAGTTGAGGCATTCTACTCATTTGTGGAAATGAATGCAAATAATTAGCTGGATTTGGAATCTAAAGTTAAGTTTTCCAGTGGAAACTCAAGTGGAAACACAAAAGGGGGACATCAAGAGGGTCAATATCCTGCAGGCTAAGTGGGTGGGGAGTCCTTCCAGCGCATTCTTCTGTGGAAGCTCCTTTCTGCTTGAAAATTGGATTTATTTTTCATTTCTTTTCTCCATGGCCAATGGAGAGTCTACTCTTCGTCTACTCTCCCCAATAAGTTTGGTTATGGTATAGAACATTTTGGTCAAAATCTCTCAGAACCTCTGGCATGGCGATCCAATGGGACTTGAGAACACTGAAGTAGGGAGCATAAGTTAGAAACTACTTGCGGTTGCTATTTGTAAGATGTGGAAACACGTAAGCCAGGCCTGTTTGAATCATGTTATTGCTGCTGAAAAGAAGCTAACCTACATAAAAATAAAAATATTCACTTTTGTGAAAAATGTCATTAAAATTTCTATCTTGCCAGTTTCAGGTTTACCTGCTATAATTAAGCAACTGCAAACATCAGCATAAGTTACTATGTGCACTTCTACACTTTCCTGACTTGCCTATTGAGTTCTTTGGAAGGAAACCTTTAAATCTAAAATGTTGTATTTGCGGTATTGTTTCTAGCGCAATAAGTATCTTCTCATTTCTGTAAATATCTAGTCCCTCACCAAGGTACTCGAAATCTGTTTAAATTCAAAATTCATATTAAGTTTAGAATTTTTACTTCAGCAGTGACTTCATAAATCTTGTAATAGTCTTCAAAATTGTTACAGGATTAGCATTAAATTCGTGTATTTGCTACCTAATAAAAAAATATTATATGTTATAAATACATAAAAAGAATATTACATTTATGTACCAATTCAGCTTTCTCATTCTGCTTGTGCCCACATTATAGAATATTCTTTAAGCTTTCAAAAATGAAACCCACACGTTTGATAAAATACTGAGTGCTGTTGTCTATAGTGTGTTTGTCAAAATCTCTGTGGGGACTAAACTCTTTATTTCCTAAAGTAAAGTACAAGTTGCTTCATAAAGTTCTTCATATGTCAGGTACTCTTCCTCTTGGCTGCATTCATACTCCATTCTTGTATTCTTCCATTTCATTTTTATTTATGTCTTTTTATTCAGAAACTGCTGCTGGGTATTGGAAGCTGAAGTATCATATAGAGTCCTCCATGCTTCCCACATCCGAGTATTGTCCCTTCTGCTTGTACTTGCTGGCTTGTATTGAATAAAATTCCCCAACAGCTTGAACTCTCAACTGTGGTACAAGAAGTTACATTGAAACTTTGGTTGCCCCAGTTATCTCTTACAAAAGTCTGTACCTCTCCTGACTCTTTTCTTCTGAACTTAAGAGTTGTTGGGAAGAAACAGCTTTTAAAGAAATGTTATCCTTTCTCAGCCTTCCCCTTGCCGGTAATCTAATATTTAAGAAGGACCTGGAATCTCAGATAATTGCCTCTCATTCTTTTCACATCCATAATGGTGGACTAGATCTTTTGTTAAACTTGAAACATTAGATTTTACAGAGTAGTAATACGTATCTCAGGTTAGAGCAAATGAAAGGTTAGTAGCACTATTACTGACTTCTGTCACTCACCGACCACGTGGGTTGATGTTATGACTTCTTTCTCCTCACTCTTGTACATAGAGCTCTCTCAGTGCTTTGTATCTATAGAGGATTTCTTTTCAGATGAAGTTGGGCCATTCTTCGTCCAAAGGCCATAGTATAATACAGTTAATTTTCTCATTTCAAAACTTAATTGAGATGTTAAATTTGTCATTCTATATAACTAGGAAGAGATTTTTTTTAACTAAGGAAATTAAAACTAAAAAAGGTATTGAAGAGAAGACAAGAAAGAATCACCAAATTCAAGGATTCATAATTATAAAATTTAGAAAAAACACACTATATTATCTATTCTAAACTTCCCCAACTCCTTCCCTATGTTATAGTTGAGAGAGCAAAGATAAGGGACACTCCCATGATTAAAATGATAGTATTAAGATACGGTTATACATCAAATCCCTTGGCTTCTAGTACACATAGCTAGTATATAATAGAGGCTTTATTATTTTACGTAGAATGAACTGTACCATGTTACCAACATAGCTGAGGTTTCCAGTGAGTAAAAATCAAAATATAGCCAAGAGCTTGAACGTAGAAAGATGTGGATGAGTAAATAGAGAAAAAATTAATTATTTTATGTATGCATAATAACCAGGTTAAGTACAACTTGCTACATACTTTGTAAAGCAAATCCACTGAAGAGGTCTTTTAGGTAACATTTTATTAGCCTAGTTTTATTTATTGAATGAGTTGGAGAGCACTACAGCTGAAAATCTTTAAAACTACTTTATAATATAGAAGTTCCTTGTAGTTCAGAGTTTCCCTTTATAAATAGTCAGTGAGCTCTGTCATTTTGAAAACAAAAGGGGGAGTTCAGATGTGAGGATGAAATTTAAGTCTGCTTACTATCAGTTATAAAATTATATCTCGGCATAGCTCCACTACTAGTAATGGCAAATGGTTCCTATTGTGCCAACGAACTTGTAGGTAAAAGTATAAAGTTTGGACAAATTATAAAAAACAAATATCTGAAAGCAAAAGAGACTGATCTAACACAGGCAGAAATTGAAAGGCGGCGTACCTATATTTAGAAGAAGGGAATGGCTGTGGGTTGAGTTTTCTGTTTTTACTGTTTTAGCCCAAGGGTAGGCTCCAGTCAGTATAGGGAGGACATGATCTTAGAGGCATGAAGAACTATAGGCCAGAGTTCAGGGCAACCATAGTATGTGTAAAGTGAAAAAGAAAATCCCCAAAAGGACAGAATCAAAGAAGGGAAGTTCCAAATTCAGTGTATAAATTTTACCCAGTCTTTGACTAACTTCTTAACTATTCCTTTGTGGTACCAAATCCAAAAAACCCAGGTAATCAGGTAAAGTTAAGTGAAGTGAAGAGAGAATCTAGCTGCTGAAGAGGAATTTGAGTTTGGACTTTAGAGTTCAATCTAGAAAAGTAAACACCCATATGCACACGCCACCATCACCACCAACTCTCTTCATAGGAATATAACAGAATCTGAAATCTCTACAATATATTACTCACAATGTCCAGGATATAACTTAAAATTACTAGATATGCAACAATACAAGAAACTGTGACTTACACTCAATGGAGACTAAAATAATCCAGGTATTTAATTTATCATACAAGGATTTTAAAGCAGCTATTATGAAATAAAATAAACTTGTAATAAATGATAAAAAATAATAGCACAGGGAGATCAGCTCGGTGCTTTCTGACCGCCTAGAGGGGTGGGATAGGGAGGGTGGGAGACGCAAGAGGGAACAGATATGGGAACATATGTATATGTATAACTGATTCACTTTGTTATAAAGCAGAAACTAACACACCATTGTAAAGAAATTATACCCCAATAAAGATGTTAAAAAAATAAATAAACAGTAGAAAAATGTAAACTACAAAAAGAAATCAAAAGGAAATTATACAACTATAAAATAAAATATCAGAACTAAGACATTACTGGGTGAGTGTTAAGACTGAAGCTGACAGTAGATAGAGTTTGGAACATAAAGGAAGATCAACAGAAGTTACCCAATCTGAAGAACAGAGAGAAAAGATTGAAAGAGAAATTAAACAGAGCTTCAGGGATATGTGGAACAATATCCGAGTAACTAACGAATATGTACTTGGAGTCTCAGAAGGGGAGAAGAGGGAGCATGAGGCAGAGACAAAATATCTTAAGAAATAATTGCTGATAATCCCCCCCAAATTTAAAAATATTTCATTTTCAAGAAGCTCAGTGAACCCTAAGCAGAATAAATACAAAAGAAAACCATTTCTATGGATATCATGGCCAAACTGCTGAAAACCAAAACTAAAGATACAATTTTGAAAGCATCCAGAGAAAAATAATACATTACATACACAGAAACAAAACTACAAAATCTACTGACGTGATTAAAAGAAAAAGGATGCTAGAAAACAGTGGAATGATATAATTAAAGTACTGAAAATGAAACTGCCCATCCAGAATTCTACAGCCAGAGAAAATATCTTCCAGAAATGAAAGAAAAGTAAAGATATTTTCAGAAAAATGAAAATTAAGAGAAACCACCACCAGTCAGCATGTGCTATAACAAGTGCTAAATAAAATTTAGTAGAACAAAAAAGGAAAATGATACCAGAAGGAAAGTCTGATCATCAAAAAGAAATAGAGGGACAGTGGAAATGGTAAATGTTAAAGTCATTTGATTACTTAAGGCAAAAATAGTGTTATGGTTTATAACATGTCAACGTAAGATGTATATCAACTATAGCATAAAGAACAAGACTAAAGTAGATAAACCTATATAAATATAAAAGTCTTACATTTCATGTGAGTAAAACAGTACAATAACAACTCTAAGTACATTGAAAATTTAAGGATCTATATTGTAGCCCTTGGCATAACCACTAAAAAATGATGCAAAGAGATATCACTAAGAAATCAGTAGATACATTAAAATGGATTTCTAAAGGAGTGTATAATTAAACCCAAAAGAAGACAGGAAAGAAAAACAGAAAAAAAAAAATAGAGAAAACAAGTAGCAAAATAGCCGACCTAAATCCAAACCATGTCAATACACACATTAAGCATCACAGATTTAAAGACTAAAATTAAAAGATACAGAAAGAAAGGAAAAAGAAGAGCCAACAATTTTTTGTTTACAAGAGATGTACTTTAAATATTAAAGATAGAGCTTTACTGAAAGGAAATGGAGAGAAAAACATATATCATTTAAATAGCATAAGAAGGCTGGAATAGCTATATTAATCAGATGAAACAGTTCAAGATGGATAGTGTTGCCAGTGATGAAAAGAGAGATTTCATAAAGATAAGTAAATGGAGAGATATGCCATGTTCATGGATTATAAGACTTGGTATTGTGAAGACATTTATATCCTCAAATTGATGGAAGATTTCAATCCAATCCCCTTCAAAATCCCACTAGGCTTTTCCTTTTTCTTTCTCTCTTTCTATATCTCCCTCTCTTTCTTTCTTTTTCTGGGTAGAAACTAAATTTTAGTTCTAAAATTTACATAGAAATGCAAGGATACAACATATCCATATTAAACCTGAAAAATAAAAGTTTGAGGACCTACACTACCTGACTTTGAGACCTCCTATAAGCTACAGTAATCAAGGCAGATGACAATGACAAAAGAACTGACAAGTCAATAAAACAAAATTGAAATCCTAGAAATAAATCGACACAGATATACGGTCACTTGAATTTCAACAAAGCCACCAAAGCAATCCAATGGGAGAAAAGTCTTCAACAAATGGTTCTGCAATAACTAGATATATGTAAAAAAGTGAACATGGCCTCAACTCATAAAAGACACAAAACTTAATCTGACTCGGTTAATGGAACTTAACATAAAAGGTAAAGCTAAAAAGCTTCCAGAAGAAAACACAGGAGAACATCATCATGAATTGGGAGTAGCCAAAGCATTCTTAGACAGAACACAGAAAACAATAAACAAAAGAAAAAATTGGATAAATTAGACTTCATTAGAAGTTCAAAACTTCTGCTCAACAAAATAAACCATTAAGACAATGAACAGGTGAACTACAAACAGAGAGAAAATATGTGAGAAACATATATTTGACATAGGATTGTTATACAGAATATATAAAGAACTCCTACAAATTGTAACAAGAGACAACCCTACCTCAAAAATATTGTGTAAAATATTTGAAGAGACTCCTCCTTGAGGAAGATATATGAATGGCCAATCGGCACATGAAAAAATGCTCAGCATTATCAGTCACCAGGAAAATACAAACTCAAACTATAGTGAATTATTATTAAATATCCATCAGAATGGTTAAAAGTAAAAACAATGACAACACCAAATGTTGATGAGCATGTGGAGCAACTGAAATTCTCATATATTGCTAAGAAAGTATAAAATGATACAACCATTTGGGAAAAAAATTCTTGCAGTTTCTTTAAAAACTGAACACATAGCTACTCTATGACCCAGTAACTTCATTCCTAGCTATCTACCTAAGAGAAATGAAAGCATCTGTCCATAAAGACTTGTACAATAATGCTCGTAACAGGTTTATTCATAATACCTCAAAAACTGGAAATAGCCTAGGTGTCCACCAAAAATGAGAATGAGTAAACAGATATATACAAGCAACTTACTCAACAATAAAGAAGAATAAATTATACTTATACTGAAAAACATAAACTTCAAAAATGTCCTGAAAGAAATTTCACACAAAAGAGTATACATACTATATTCTCTTTATATGAGGTTCTAGAATGGAAAAAACTAATGCATGATGAAAAAAAACAGAACAGTGTTTGCCTTTCTGAGGATGGTGACATGATTGTCTGGAGGAGGTATGAAGGAACTTTCTGAACTGATGGTAATGTTTTTTATCTTGAGAGGGGATTAGAAAACAACAAATTTATACATTTGTCAAAATTCATCAAATGGTATACTTAAGAATTGAGTGGTATACTGAATATAAATGTTACCTTTAAAAAAAAGGAACCATAAACAAATTATACATAATGAAGTGTTTAGGAGTGAAAAGTAAGCTGATGTATGCAGCTTACTTTTCAATGTATTAAAAAAAATGAACAGATGGACGGATTAAAGAACAACTGGATGCATATATATAGTAAATGCAAATATAGTAAATATAGAGTTAATATATTAAATATAGTAAAATGCTAATTGTAGGCTTCCCTGGTGGCACAGGGATTAAGAATCCTCCTGCCGATGCAGGGGACATGGGTTTGAGCCATGGTCCGGGAAGATCCCACATGCCACGGAGCAACTAAGCCCGTGCGCCACAACTACTGAGCCTGTGCTCTAGAGCCTGCGAGCCACAACTACTGAGCCCACGTGCCACAACTACTGAAGCCTGCGCGCCTAGAGCCCGTGCTCCGCAATAAGAGAAGACACCGCAATGAGAAGCCTGCGCACCGCAACAAAGAGTAGCCCCCCACTCGCCGCAACTAGAGGAAGCCCGAGTGCAGCAGCGAAGACCCAATGCAGCCAAAAATAAGTAAAAAAACAAACAAAACAAAACAAAAAAACCACATTGAGATACCACTACTCTAAAAAAAAAATCTTTAAGAAAAATGTTAATTGTAGAATCTAGATGGCAGATATATGGTATTTGGTCTACAATTCTTTTAACTGTTTTGTGTTTGAAAATTTTTATATTAGAAAAACTTAATTATCTTGCTGTAAACTGGCTGCTTCTAAAAATCAGATTTATGAGAAAAACAGAACACATTTTCCATACTCAACAAGACCTCTCCATTCTGCACCAAAAAAGAAGAAAGAAAGGAAAAAAAAGAAGAAGAAAAAAATATCACTGACCTTTTTTCTTTTCCTTTGTTTGGTTTTAGCTGAGTCTTGTCCAGCACTCCCATTCCCTAGGGATCCTGATGTGGTTCTCCCTGAGAGCTGTGATCCAGATGATGGAGCGCTCGGTGTAGGAGGAGGCGTGTTCTCAGGAGAGTCTGGGTAGGACCTTAGGCAAGACCCCTGTCCAAAGAGATGTGGCTTTGAAATCAAGCAACCAGAACTTCTACTAACATTTGAGTTTGTTTAACATCTCATGAATTCAGTAATATTTGAAAATTATAAAAACACAGTTTATTATTATCCAGTCCACAGAAATGATGCCACCATCTTACCCCTAAGGGTCTAAAGATATTAATTTTTAATCTGTCTGATCATTTAGATAAAAATCAGGATTCCTCAGATACAGCTTCCAAAATTTCTGCTCATTTTGTCAAATAGAGATATTTTTACTGAGAAGTTTTGTCAGTGTTTCAAACTTACTCAAAAGGAAGTTCTAAACTTTCCCCCCAAACAGGATGCCTTCCAGACATTCTTTGTAACATGGTGACCAGCCTTCGCCTAGTAACTCAAACTCAGTGCTTTAGGGTCACTGTAGATATATCTCTAGCTCCTCCAACACCTAGTTCCTTCCTTCCTTCAGAATATGCCTGATATCTATCTGCTTTCTTTGGTTATGACGGCAAGTCTGTTCTCTCTTCCATGTGGAAGCACTTCAAATATTGAAGACTGTTTATTGCACAGCCTCTTCTCTTCTATAGGTCAAACACCTCAAGTTCCTTTCACCACTTATTATGAGACATGCTTTCAGGTTCCTCCTCCCGCCCATTACTCTCCTTTAGATATCCTTCACTTTGTCAATATCCACCCTATAGGATGGTGCCTAAACATTGAAACAAAACAAAAACCGTTTTCTTTTCAGTAACATCACAATATTGGCTCCTAAGAAATGTACAGGCAAATAAAAGTTTCTAAGTCTTTTTCATGTAGGGTATTGTTAATTCCACATTATCCTCATACTATCTACTGGCCTACAATTCTCTGTAATGTATTTAAAAAATTATGTTAGGCTTGGTAAAATGTTTTGCTGAAATTCAGATATTGTTTTCAATAGTATTTCTTTGATCTGCTTGCCTAGAAACATCAAACAAGAAGGAATAAACCTAATGTGGCATGAGTTGTTCTTAGAAAAAACAAGGTAACTCCTAGAGATCATTGCTTCCAGTATATGAACCATATATTAGAAAACAAAATCTAGAAAATTAACTCAAATTAAAATTAACCTTGATAATCTGAGAAACCCAAGCTTAACTAGCTCAGTTCCTTACATAGTTAGTATTCAAGAACGATAATTATTAAAATAGAATGCACTGGTGTTAACTCCATGCCTTGAGTTTCCAATTCCAAGCTACTCTACATAGCACCTCCATCTGGACCTTCTTAAAATACCCTTTGGAGCTCATCAACCTTTAGCCAAGAAACTTTCAATTCTTCCTTAATACCTCTAAGCGCCTAAGGCCTTTCTTTTCTAATCTAACTCCCCACTACCCCTTCTCAATGAATTCTTGGCTTGAATGTTTTAATCACAGTTTTTTCCCCCCAGTACAATTACACTTATGCTGCCTCTGAGGCCTAGAGTATTTTCCCCACTTTTACCATCTCATAAAAGTCTTATTTTTCCTTCAACACCCAACTTCCTCTCTGAAGTCTTCTTCCATGGTAATTAGGGAGTTGCTTTTAATCTCTGAAATTTCTGTCTACGCCACTCATTTGGAAATTAGTACATACAACCTTGAATTGTTTGTTTGTTTGCTCGTTAATTTACTTCCTTGGTTGTTTTACAGAATGTTCTATCTCCCTAAATACAGATCATATTAGTCTCAGAGCCCCCATTTGTACCTAATTTGGTAAAGTCCTTAAAGCAGGCCCTTGATAGTGGTTGCTGATTTGCAATGTTCATGTGTAAGATTCCTTCCCTAGAGTGGCCATTCTTTTTGTGTCCTGTCAGGTAATAAAGGGCAGAAAGACTTCCAGTCTCTCCGAATGTTCATTCTGACCACCAGTCACATTGAAGGAGGGGTGTCTGGCAAGTCAGGGAAAAGCTTGAGGCTTGTGCTAACATATTTAGCCAGGATACTTCCTGACACTCATGCTCCCACCTCCCAGAGAGCCCAGGACATTCAGCACACATAAGCCATCTTTCTTAACGGCTGGGTAGCTGGGAATAGCAGCTGTGGTTGCTGAGCAGTTGCCCGGGGCAGCTTGGCCACCCTGGAGAACCGAGAAAGTGGGAGGGACATAAAGAGTTTTCCTAGCCACGTAAGCAATCCCTTGAATGTTAAGGGAAAACTAGGCTTGTTATGTTCACTGTAAATTTCTTCAATTAGAAATGTTACAACGAATTTATCTGATGTTAATGAAAAGCATACTTATACACATATTCATAAAGTGAACATGTATCAAAGACAGTTTAAAGGGTGTTCTTTGACATCATAATTTGGGTTTGTAACATAAAGAAAACAAATAGTGTTTAATCAACTGGGTAAGCTTTAGGGACTTTTAAAGTATATTCGCTGATAATAATGTATGACCTTTTCCAAGACAAAAATGGATTTTTAATGAGCATAAACATTTTAATTCCTACTTTAGTTCTAAGCCAATCTGGTTCTACAAGGGGCATAAAAAGATGTCAAACTTTTGGCATGTAATAAGATATAGGCATATATCTTAATATATTTTATATGTATCCTAGAGCAGAGATATACCTAAATTTGGAGTTTACCGGGTTCACAGATCCCTTATATCTGCAGAATGGTTTCAGACGGTCTCTCAACACCCTGAAATTGTGTACAAAATTTGCAAATGTCTTTATGGAGAAAGGATTTACAGTTTTCTTCAGATTCTTTGAATGGCTTAGCCATTTTCAGGTTATATGTTTCACCCAACTTGATCCAAAGTTCACTTCACAATTATACATGCAGATGTTAACTTAACCTCCTTGCTGCCTTCTCTATGGTTATTAGGTTGAATTATATGAAACTGATGTTTATGTTAGTAAAAACAAGTCAAATTATTGGCAAATTCATTAAATAGATATTACATTTCTGGTTTTTAGGCACATGCTGCTTAAAGAGAATATTTTTTATGCCCAAAATGATACACAGTTGTGTATACACAAAGTCTTAAAGTTGGCAAGATGACTTTATAGTCCCCACAGGTGGGGATCCCAGCAACATAAATGGAATCAGAAAGGATGTGATTATCATATGATAGGGCCAACTGAAACACAAAGGATAAATGGAGCCATGCTTCTTTAAATCATGTTTAGAGATAAATCAATAATGGAAAGTAAAACTATCAATAAATGCCAGGAATTATTATTACACGAATAATAATAATTCTCTCATCTTTGAAGCAAAAAGAAATAACTTTTCTCAGTGTTATTCAATTACCTAAACCAGGTGTTTATCTCCCATGGAAATGAGAGGTGTGCTTTCGCCGAAGGGACAGGAAAGCTAAATAAGGCCGGGAGAAGGTGAAAAAAAAAATCATTGTATTAAGTGGATTGTTAGGGCCTGGTACATAGTACGTATTTGTTTGAATGCTGAATGTATTAAGATTCTTTGACTCAAGGCTATATATTCCTACATAATCTTTTTCTTAGAACTACATGTTAATACCAGACATGAGAAAAAAATCCACAGACGGGTCAAAGACAGATTTTTTTTAATACTTACCTCAGCAGAGCTGTGATACTGAATGAAGGTGGCAGAAATGGCATGGCTGAAGGGGTCTCCTGCCTTGGTTACCATGTCCTGCCTCACAAGAAGAGCCAGATCCACTAACTAGAAGATCAGAGCAATGAAACTAAAGTCACACAAATGGAAATAATCATCAGTGTCACTGAAATGGTAAAGCTAAAAGCAATATATCCCAAATGGTATTGATAATATTGTCTGCCTAAAAATCTGTATTGTGGACATGAACATATGCTTTCATTGGCTGGTAAATGGACCTACCCATGAACATCAATGATATATTCTGACCTCCCATTGGAGTGGTTCTCAAAGTCTGTAATCACTAGGGAAACATTTTATTTAATTTTTTAAATTAATTAATTAATTAATTTTTGGCTTAGTCAGGTCTTAGCTGCAGCCTGCGGCATCTTTCACTGTGGCGGGGGCTTCTCTCTAGTTGTGGTGCATGGGCTCCAGAGTGCACAGGCTCAGTAGTTGCGGCACGCAGTCTCTCTAGTTGTGGCGCCAGGGCTCTCTAGTTGTGGTGTGTGGGCTCCAGAGTACATGGGCTCTGTAGTTGTGGCACAGGTGCTTAGTTGCCCCGTGGCATGTGGGATCTTAGTTCCCCAACCAGGGATCGTACCTGTGTCCCCTGCACTGGAAGGCAGATTCTAAACCACTGGACCACCAGGGAAAACCTGGGAAACATTTTAAAATACATATTTCTGGGTTCCAAGCTCCAAGATTATAATTCAGTAGGTCTGCTCTGGGGTGTAGCTGAGAAATTTACGTTTTAAACAAGAACCAAGGAGATGCTGATGCTTGTAGTCTAAGAACCCATGCTCTGAGAAACTAGAGGGCAGTGATTCCAGACTCAGATTTTGGTAAGCACTCAGTAGATTGTACATTTCTAGAAAGCTGTTTTTCAAAGCTCAAAAATAATCTCTAAACAAGAGAGATGTATACTTAGAATTCAGTGTTGAGGAAAAGTATGCAAGTATTCCATTTCTGGTTTGGCTAAAGTTGCAAGAAACAGTCACTTTTAGCCTAACACCCACCGGGGCTGAGGATGCAAAGAAACATAACTGAACTAAATTTTAGAAAATGATGAGATTATCACAGGAGAGAACTCATGGCTGATCTCATTCCTGGTAGAGCAGCAGGTGGAAGAAGAATTGATGATGGAGAGGGATAGGGAGAAAGCAGCTATGTATGGCCTAATATGACAAATTAGAATTCTTACCTGTGCCACAGTTTCGTACGCTAAATATGCTAAAATTTCCATAGCGACAACATTGGGCTTTATCTCCAAACTGCTGCAGTCCAACCAGTCTCGAAATTTGGAGGCTTTTTTGGCTAGCCATTAAAAAAAAAAGTATAGAAAATTTAGCTTTGGATGTGTTTTAATACTGCATATTACTATCACAGAATGAAAAACATTTCTATTGAAAATTGCATATGAAAAACAATGCATATAATATGCAACGTTTTTGAACTTATATTCTAGCCCCCCAAACTCCCTTATACATTTGCGTCTTTAGTATCTCTGCTACATAACACTGTATACTAAACCACTTAATCTTTAGCACTTCTTACAATGTGTCAGAATAAGTTATCATTGGCCATAGCTTATGTTATAACAGTAGTCAGAGAATTACTTGCTTGATGTAACTTTAATTTATTCTTGTGGAAAGAAAATCCTGCAAGAAAGAACCTGTGATAAAAAAGGAACATATAGAAATTGTATTTTTAATACCTTTTAAAATGTGTCTATTACTTGAATAGGCTCAAAGTTGTGAATTTAGAATTAAATAGAATAAACTGATATCTGGCCTGATCTAAATCTGTGGTTACATTTTCCTGATTGCAAAGATGTCCAAATTCTTAAGCCTGACTCTCACAACCACCCAGACTGATTCCAGCCTGCCTTTATATTATTCCCTATCAAAATGTCACTGGCCTTGAGTATAATCCTCTGTGTCCAGCCCTGCATGGGATTCTCTATCACTCTGTTTCATTCATACGAATCCTGCCCATACAAGCCAAAGGTATACATCGTCAACTCTAGTCATTTACTGAACACTTATATCATCAGAGATCCTTTTGTGTCTGCTTATAATTTCTCAAGCCACATTACAAGATTTTTGTGGACCAACACCATGCGTCACGTCTCTCTGCATACCTAACAGTACTAAGCACATATGGAACCTTCTGGTAAATATCTCTAAACCACCACAGTGCTAAGCAGAATCTAACTTGACATAGGTCCTTCATTAGATATTACTAATTTAACTAGTAACCCAGAGGGAAAAGATTGATGGTGAAGATTTTATCATATCTATAACATAATCATCTTTTTAAAAATCCAATGATTATTCTTTTGATTAATCTGGTCCCACAGGTCTCTAAAACACTTAACAGTAACTCCAAGCATGATGTTTTGATCCTTATAGATAAAGTCTTCATGGATTCCACATACAGAAGAGTTTTCTGTGAAATAAATCACAGGAGACATTAAGTCCTGCTATCGAAGCACATATCCAAAGCTGTCAACTGTGGCAGAATTATGATAATCCCGCTTAAAGCTATCTCCCTGAAGTAACCAATCTTCCCAATGCTCTCTGACATGCAAATTCCATCTAACTGGTAAGCTGCAATAGCTCACAAACACTTGGTTAACATCTGTGGAATACTTCTGAAGTTCAAGTCAACAGGCAGCAATTTGGCAAGATCAATAAAATGTACCCTATTCACTTCTCCCTTTGCAGACAGCAACATGGAAACAGGTATGTTGTGACTGTGCTCTAAACACTTTATTTTAAAAGTAAGGGAAAGAAGAGTTCTTGGTATTCTCTCAGATCTGCCTACCTAAGCAACAGAATCGTCAGCTTTCTCACTAGATCTTACGTACTGAGAATGCAGAGGTGAGGACCATGGGTCCACCATGGTATCCCAGCACCCAGAATAGTGCCTGACATTAGCACACTCACCATAAATATTTCTAGAAGGAAGAAATGAATGAATGAATGAATGAATGAAAGACATTCCTTTAATAAAAGGGTAGGGTCCAAACTTTTCCATACATCAAAAAAGATGCATAAGACCACTTGGGTTACTACTATGCCAGCAATCTTCCAGGTGAAGGTTCTCTGAGCTAATTCCCTCCCTGTCACGTGGAGGACTGTTTCAGAGATGGACCTTTCCAGGGTGATGCTGGTTCCAAAAAAAAGAGGCACAGATACTCTTAGTTATGATAGTTTGTTTTCACCAGAAGTAAGGGGGCATGAAACTGAATGAGTTCCTTTTCCTTCACCCCTCTTCTCAATGTATCAGGAGAAAGGGTAATCCTGGAAATTGATCAACAGCCTAAATAGAACCTTGACCAAAGGTCAAAAATTCCTGGGATTATCCTCTTTTCTGACACAACCTGAGTTTTCAGCCTGTGCTGGAAATAAAACTACTTTACTTAATAATTTCATATGGAAATTTAAGGTTGTCAATTCTCATACAGTTTACCTTTCTCATCAGTGATCAATGGCAAAATTCAGGTTCCTCTCAATAATCCATCCTCTCACCCCTGCACACTATTTCATTATTTCTACCACATCCCTTCTCGCCAGCCTTTCCATTCCTGATCCTTCCCGCAAAGCCCTCTGTAATGCTCATTCCACTTTGAAGAAAACCTTCTGCAACTTCTATCTCTTCACAGTCACTGTTCTTTGAATAAATCGAAAATAACCTTCCTCAGAGGGCATGGTTTTCCCTGGAAACTTCTATAGTAGGGGTTCCTTCTTTCTTTTCTTTTATACATATTTATTGATCGGCTACTGATTGCCAGCCTGTTCATTTCCCCATATACCCGAGGGTATATCTTCATTCTCTTTCTTTCTCACACAGGGAAAGCATAAAACAAGTAGACATCAGATTTCTAACCAACGACAGAGGCTAAAAGACAATGGAATCATGTTTTAACCAATAACTATTAGTCTACAATTTCCTACTTAACTAAACTATCATTTAAGTATGTGGGCAAAATAAAGCCATTTTTAAGACAAAAATGAGTGCTTTAAGCACTTACAGAGGCTTGGGAAAAACAAAATTAGGCTGAGAAGGGAAGTTTAGATACAGGCATACCTCAGAGATACTGTGGGTTTGGTTCCAGACCACCACAATAAATCAAATATTGCAATAAAGTGAGTTACACAGATTTTTTGGTTTTCCAGTGCATATAAAAGCTATATATACGCTATACTGTAGTCTATTAAGTGTAAAATAACATTATGTCTAAAAAAATAGCTTAATTAAAAATAATCCTGTTTGAAAAAAAAATAACCCTGTTTGAAAAATGGCACCAATAGACTTGCTTGATGCAGGGTTGCCACAAACCTTCAATTCCTAAAAAAACACACTATCTGTGAAGCACAATAAAGCAAAGAGCAATAATACGAGGTATGTCTGTAGTTACCAACTTAAAAAATTTTAAGTCAGGGGTGTACTTTAGAAAAATTAAGGATAGCAACTAAAATAACAGCAACAGAATATATAATATACAAACTGGTTGATGAAAAATGGAATGAAGGAAACCCAATCAATCCAAAGAAAAGGAGGAAAACCAAATAAAAAAGCACAGTAAATTGAAAACACAAAATAAGACAGCATATAGAAACCCAAATGTATAAGTAATTAAATACATATAAATTAGGCTCATCAATTAAAATACAAAGAGACTCTCAGATTAACTAAAAAGAAAATTTGTATCTGTTTACAAAATCCACACATAAAACAACAGGTGGAAAGGACTGGAAACAGGTTTATCAAATTATAACTAAATTAAAGTTTTGTGAATTAATATCAGATTTTAAAAGACTTTAAGGGAAATGACTATCTGACTTACATAAATGTAAAAACAAAACACTGGTGAACATGATCAGTGTCCTGGTTTTACAACTTACCCGCAGCCTATAAAGTTATAGACATGTTATTTTTAAATGCACCAGTAGTCTCAACTAGTGAGTGCTATGATCAGATATTTAAAAAGACACAAGTGGCTGGATCACAATTCCTATATCTTGGTAATCTAGCAGGTGAGGAATGCAAAGAGTCTGGTTCTGGAATTGCTGACGCCCTTGGACTGAGCATTCCCAACGACAGTATTGTGGCACATAATACAACAGATTCTTCCATGAAGGTTTCATGTCGAAGCACTTATGGGTACCATATAAAGAAATATTTTTAAATGCCCAAATCCCTCGTCTTTAAAGAAAAAGAAAAAACTAAGCATAAGATACTCTTTATACTACAATTATTTTATACAGAAATGGAATGTATTAATTTTTAATCTACTAAGTTATGAATCAAAAAATTGTTATAAAAAATCAGATTTTTAAACAAAATGTGTATTAGGACGCGTCAATGACTACGTGTTTTAGTGTGAAACAGCACTTCTGTTCCTTTAAATAAATTAAATTTAAAATATGATTTAAAAAAATAGTTCAATAGCACTAAATGTTACTTTATAAAATGGAGATTTATACTTATAAAAGACTTGAATGCCATTTTTAAACCTAAAATTTACAATACAAAAACCTCTCATTTGCTGAAATTGCCATGATCTGAAGTGTCATTTACTTAATGCTTCACAGATGTATGATGCCAAATTGTTAGTCAGGCTGCAAAGTATATTTAGTTAGGAAAAAAAAATCTTCCCAAACATGTTTTCCTATATTTTACTGACATTTACATGAGGCAGTATTTGAAATGTGTCATTTATTTGCACTTTATGATCTATAAATGAAGCTCTCATTTTCTTTTTCCAAATCAAATACATTGTTAATGTGACCACATAATAGCTTTTCGTTTAAAGACACCATTGTGTCCATGATCCCTCAGATAAGGGTCATGTGCTACTTTGTCATATTTTCAACTGGACTTTTCATCACACTTACGCTTTGACCTTCACCCCGAGAGTCTTAGTCATCACTGAACTGTTGCTGTAAGGATGTTTTGTACACAATCTAGCCCACTATTTATCAAGAGCCTTTATTCTTAGTAAGCTGTGTGCAGGGGTGGGACAGCACTCATTTTGCCATGGGTACAAGAGCGTGGACTAATGAATTTGCTAACGTGGAATGCACGCCACAGCAGGAGCTTACAGACAAAGATGGAGGAGACTGTTTATGTAGATATGTTCTATTGTGGTAATATGAGAATGCACACATGAAGGGAAAGTTTGGTATTTATTACTATTAGGGGCTTTTAAATGTCACGACTGTACTACTACAGTCCATTATGGGTCAAGTACTATCAGCAATGCTAGTGTAAAAATGACTAAGAAACCAAAAAAGAAATTTAAATGGGAATATCACAAAAAACGGAATTTTTCTGACTAAAAGTAATGTGAATAATTAACATGGCTCTCTGTGTATTACCAGCACCCTTAAAAACCTCTTAACACTATTAACTGCAAAACATCAGAGTGGGGTAAAACCTTTTATAGGCTCCCCTACAATGCAGAGGCTGTTTCCATAATAGTTATAACTATGCATATATGTATTAAACTCACCAATTTCTAAGGAACACAGATGTTGCTGTACTTTAGTGTATCTGTAACACATAATCTCAGACGTATAATGAAGCAAAGTGAAGTGCTTACTTACAGAAACTTAACTGTCGACTTTCACAGAATTCTGCATATTGTGCTGAATCCATAATTCGAGTTTGTCTTTCTGCTCTCTAATAGATAAAAATAAAAAGACACACAATTTTTAAAGCAAGTAGACTTTTATGTTTTCACAGCTAAAACCCAGAACTGAAGTTCCACTTCCTTTTCTTACTCTAGGTGAATAGTTTAGTACCACCATAAATACCATGATACATAAAATTATGATAACAGTAGTTTTGAAGCTTGTTTCTCTCGGAAATAAAGTCTTAAAACCATTTTCCAGTCCTCTGTTATTTTTATTACAGTGGAAGAAAAAACTAAAGGACCTCACTTCTTAAGACTGTGCACTTCTAAATTTTCTTTAACTGTACCACACTCTTGAAGAAAAAGAAAACTGTGAGGTGTAACAAATCAAACAGAAAATTTGTTATGAACTCTTATTGCCTATCTGCCTTAAAGCTGGGATTTTTCAATGTTAAAATAGGAGTCAACAAACGGAATCCATATATTTCCCCTCAGTTAGAACATAGAGCCAGAGCTAACAAATCCATATTTTAAATTGCAAAGAAAATAAAGAAAAAGGTAAACACAACACAAATCCTTTAATCTGAGTCCAGGTATGATTCACAGTTTGGTATAGTTTCATTCGTGGGTTTTTGGATTCAGTATAGCAGATGTTTGCTGCTTCATTGTCCCACAAGAGGTAGGATAATTATAATTCACCCATAGTTTGGTGGGAAAGAATATGACCGCTTCCGCTTCCTTGGCAAGGGAAGCATTTTGAAATGAGACAGGCTGGTACTTCTTGGAATGAGTTTCTGGCCAGTAAAGGAAAAAAAATTCCCTGAGATTTAAAATTTTTTTCTGCTTTGGAAGGATTTTCAGCAAGTTTTCTTTATCACAGTTGGTGGAATACATAAGTACCACTTCTAACGTCTATGGATATTTTTATATTTTTAAAACTGAAATTATTCTTTTTCATCTTGCTTGATTTGGGTGAGTACACAATTTAATTCCAATGATCTATCAGTTGAATGAATAATGGCACACTAGCTGCAGCTCCATAGAGAAAAGATAGATGGGGGGTGGGAATTAAGGCAAAATTTACTAACTACTGTAGTTCCTTCTAAGACCACTGATTATTTTTCCCCTTCCTTCTCTCCCCTCCACCTTTTCCTTCCTAACCTCCTCCACACATATTCACAAACACATATATGTGTTGACACAAACCCAGACTTCTCTTGTTTATTTATTCTCTAGGTTCAAGTATCCTTTTTGAACACGTACAAGTAAATATTACTCCCACACACGTGCAGGTATATGTATGTGTTGTATGTGTACATGTATCCTGTTGTGTGTGTATCTGAAACATCATGTTTCCTTATATTACTGGATAAATTTTTATTGTACTCAGAAGTATTTTTTGATATATGAATGCATGATTTAGTTTTGTCCTTTTTAATGTATCTGACACATGACTCAATAAATGTTTGCTAATGGAAAACAGGAAGTAAGGAAGGGATAATTTATGTGTTTTGAACATGACAAATCAGTTACTAATGTGTTTATTAAAACAAAAAACCTCTGAGACTGATATCTTTAATGTATGTACATATTACGTATGCATGTCTGTACGTGCATCTGACTGTCTGTGTCTGACTATAGCAGGAATCTCTCAGGTTTGAATTTCTAGCTCCTAAAAAATATCTGACACATGGTAAATAAGCAATAAAACATTTGTGGAATAAACAAATGCTACAATCTTGGTCTATGATGCAGGCAAATGGCTATAATGCAGCCAAATCCTTCATTATCCATGCGTTCCTCCAGCTACTCTCTGCTACTCTGCTACTCTCCAGCTAGGCAGCCTCATCCACCAAACACATGCTAGACAGAAAGGAATCAGACGACTACGGAAAAAGGAAGTTCCTAAGGAGATTCTTAATACTAACTTTCCTTCAAAAATTGGACATTCAAGATTTGGCTTCTGTATACATTCTTAGATAGCTTAGATGGTTGATGTATTTTATTTATTTATTTTTTCATATTTAAAGATTTATTTTTTAGAGTAGTTTTAGGTTCACAGTAAAAGTAAGAAGGAGGTACAGACAGCTCCTAAATATCCCATGCTCCCCCTCGCGCACAGCCTCCCCATTATCAACACCCCCAGCAGAGTGGTGCGCTTGTTAGAACTGATGAACCTACACTGCCACATCATTATCACCCCAAATCCACAGGTTACCTTATGGTTCACCCTTGGTGTTGTACATTCTATGAGTTTGGACAAATATATGACATGTATCCATCGTTATGGTAAGTTGATGTATTTTAAGTCCTCTAGCCTCTACACAGTAACCTTTGATCTTGGGAGCCCCGTGAAGCTACTAGGGTATGCGTAGAAATTATTCACCAAGCGCGGGGCATACAGCGAACACACAGTGTGAAGCAGTTGACTCAACAGCAAAGATTTATAGGCAGTACAGAATCATGGCTAGGGAGCGGCATCAAGTTCATCTTGTTCAATCTCTCTCTTTTAAAGATAAGGAAATGAAGGTTCGGAGGGAAATAATTTGTGAAAGGTGACCAAGTTAGAACTGAAGCCCAGGACTCTCAATTCCTTGAGGAAAAGCCTATTTTCATTAAAAAGAGCTGTGTCTCTAACATATAGTAATTTTTTACTCCGATATTTTTCTTTGGGATCCTCGAAACTCTACATTATCTTACTAAAAGGTATTATGGAGCCACTGTAATTAACATGCCCAAACTGTTCACGAGAAAATGAAATTAGTGAGGCCCTGGATCAGCGAAGAAGGCAGATCTGGGGATAGCCTAGTACAGAGTGTACAAACTGTAATGTACCTGACAGCACACGGGGGTGCTGCAAACACATTACAGGTGGGATACTGTTTCCCCTCAACCTTCTGGATGCCTCACAAGGCCGAGGCAGCAGAAACCCCAGGCTGGTAAGTGTTATCGTTTTCTATGCGTGCCATGACATAAAAGAGGTTGGCACTCCTACTAATGTCCTCAGAATATACACTGCACGTCACCGGGCATGCATGCCATTCACAGCACGGTCAAGTGCGCTCAACAAGAAATCAGAGACACTAACTGGGACTTGATGATGATGAGGATGGTTCAGATCCGCTCCTCATGCTAATTTTTGTTTACTCCTGTCTCTTCCCTAGGACTTGTTTCAAATAACCAAAAAAAATGGGACAAATTTGGTCTCATAAAAGCACCCAAATCATTCAGCATCTGATTACATTATCTCCTCATCTTACACTATCACCTTAAATACTGGGAAAGTCAGAAAATACCTAATCTTCATGGACTATGTATTCTTCAAAGATAGTAACGATATTTTGCTTCTATAATCTCAGTGTTGGCTGAGATTTCTTAGCTTGGATTTACCTGGGCCTCGGTAAACATTTGCTGGCTGGCTCAATGACTGGGCAGATGGATGGGTAGATTGAGGCAGAAGAAATGCATATAAATCCTTGATGGCTGATCTCAAAACAGGAACCGTAATATTTGTAATCAAACTGTACAAATTCCAGAGAGGGTAGACAGAGTTTTAAGCCAAAGACCCATAATAAACAAGACACTGGCCAACAATGAACTAAGGCTGGCTCTTATTTTCTGTGTTGTCCTAAATCCACCTCCCTTCTGCCTCTCTTCGGATCAACCTCTGTAATTCACACTAAAGTACACAGTGGCCATCCTTTTCTATTCCTGGAACTTTAAGAAATCTCTGGAAAAAGATTCAAGCGGGAAAAATAATCATAAGCCTAATAAAACAGCATGACCAGAATAACAATGTCTACTCTTTACATAGAGCAGCACAATAACCTTTAAGATAAACAGTTTTTTTTCATAGCTCCATTTTAGAAGTTGAGCTTGAACACACTCAGATGTAGAGAAGTAAAAAAAAGAAAAACAAATTTAAAGTATATAGTTAATAAAGAGGCAAAGTGAGAAGTAAAACCTGGGTTGGTCTTGAATGACCTATTCTAAGGTGTATTAAATGACCTATTCTGAGGTGTATCACTAAATAATCATATCAGGTTAACCACAGCTTTTATTCTTCATGAACATCCTCACGGGAGGATGATCTCAGACTGCCACATAAATGTCAGGTCATCTCTGGATTACTCATGCTTTTGCATCTGCAATCCAGTTCGTCTTCTGCTTAATCTGGTGCTTCTGCCCACTCGTGGCTTTCTTTAGGTATCAGCAGTGCTTCTGAACCCTCATAAAAATATGTTAATAACTCAGAGGCTTCTCTGAAATTGAACCTTACTAATACTATGACATAGCAAAGTATTACCATGTAGGGGCATACATGGATGCATTCATTACCTTTGAAAGAATTATTCCTAAAATTTTCCAAATACCCAACAATATTTCAAAATTTAATTGAAATAGCTTCAGAAAAAAGGTAATAGAGAATAGTTATGCTATAGTCATTCATCTCATTATCAAGGTTACAGGTCTTTCTGGTTATTGCAAAACAGAAGGCACAATTCCATGTCAGATAAACTTACTTTCTGGGTCTTTACCTAAATGAAAACAGGGGAGCAAATATCCCTACAAATGCAATATGTAGTATAATTTGTTTGTCCAATACCTGAACACAACAGTCTGTCAGTATATAATTGTTAATTTAAATTTTTAGTGATAAGTTTTTACGTCAGTGGATGTGAAATTGCTGTGTCTTTGAAAAATACTTTCAAGGACAGCAGTGACAATCACCATTTGCCCCTGCCTATATGAGTTTGAGGTATGGGGCTGGATTACTTCTGCAGCATGCAGTTTCATTTAAATTCTCTGCATGCTTTCACTGAAGCATACGTAAAGGTTACAGAAACTATGTGCTGGCGTATCTCTTGGCAGCTTCTCAAGACACATGACTTTCCTCAGCAACACAGAATCACAGAACATAACTTTTAAACCAAGATGAAAGTTTTCATCTGCTTTCACTTCCACCTTGAATTTAAAAAAAAATCTTATTTTGATTACACCTAGAAGTCTTACAATTGAAACGCAAAGTATTTTCTGCATGGAAAAG